CAGTGTTGGGACATGTAAACTCAGGTGGTTTCAAGTTTCATCTTTCTAATAGATACAGTGCAGCCTTCACTCGTCACCCTAGCTGGTTTTACAGCCAGTCACAACTTTTAGCCATGTTACCAAAATAACTTACAGGGTGTCATTCCAGAAATGTTTGGATCACCAAGTGATTTTACTCTTTAAAGGCTCGATTTTGTTTTTCATTCAGTTTATTAATATATACCCATAACAAATGTCATTTCCAGATACTTTGCATGCCAGGACAGGCACAATTCATATACAATTGTAGAGAAACCAATTCAGGCCAGATTCGCACTTAGTACACTCCAAACTCCAGTTTGATTAAAATCCTAAAAAAAAATGAATCAAATGTAGTTGACTGTGTATTGCAGATTGGTAAAAAGTAATCTGTCTAAAAAAGCCCAGCCAACAGCATCGAGTCCTTCATTTTGCAGCAATTTCTCCTTCTGAACCAAGCTCAGTAAAATAATTGTTATCTGTAATGAGGGGCTGAGGTTTGAAGGGAATGGAAGAAGACAAAATAAAACAGAAGCACTAGAGAAGCACTATGTGTGTACTTTCTATGACAAAAAAAATCAAAGACAACACAAAGTTAAAGGTAGAAATGGCTCTGTCAGTAGTTCTATCCAGGGAAAGGAGAGAGCTAAACTCAAAAGCACTGGACCAGGAATACTTTCTATGGAAATAAGACTAATAGAAAACAGAGAGGGGAGGCCATTCCTCCCGATCACGCCTCTCCAGGTGTCACTGTCGTTTCCCACGTGGGCGTTGAAGTCCCCCAGCAGAATAATGGAGTCCCCGGGAGGGGCACTATCCAGCACCCCTGACAGGGACACCAAGAAGGCCGGGTACTCCGCACTACCGCTCGGCCCGTAGGCCGAAACGACAGTCAGAGACCTATCCCTGACCTGAAGGCGCAGGGATGCGACCCTCTCATCCACCGGGGTAAACCTCAACACGAGACGGCTGAGCTGGGGGGCAACAAGCAAACCCACCCCAGCCCACCGCCTCTCCCCGTGGGCCACTCCAGAGTAGAAGAGAGTCCAGGCCCTCTCAAGGAGATGGGTTCCAGAGCCACGCTGTGCGTGGAGACGAGCCCGACTATTTCTAGTCGATATCCTCTCGACCTCCCACACAAGCTCAGGCTCCTTCCCCCCCAGCGAGGTAACATTCCACGTCCCTAGAGCCAGCCTAAGCATCCGGGGATCGGGCCGCTGAGGTCTCCACCTTCGTCCGCCACCCAATCTTCTTTGCACCGGTCCCTCACGGTTCCCCCTGCAGGTGGTGGACCCACTGGGGGATGGCCTCGCATCTCTCGTTCGGGCTTGGCCCGGCAGGGTCCCACGAGGAGCAACCCGACCACCAGGTGCTCTCCAGCGAGTATCGACCCCAGGCCTGGCTCCAGGGTGGGACCCCGGCTCCGCCGTATCAGGGCGACGTTACGTGCCTCGATTTAATGGTCCTCATGAAGGATTCTTGAACCGCTCCTTGTCTGACCCATCACCTAGATTCTGTTTGCCATGGGAGACCCTACCAGGGGCATTTAAGGGGTCTGAGGGTCTGCTGAGAACGCCTGGCGGAGCCCTCGGCCAGGGATGTATTCAACTCCCACCTCCAGGAGAGCTTTGACCAGATTCCGGGGGATGTTGGAGACATAGAGTCAGAGTGGACCATGTTCTCCGCATCTATTGTCGATGCTGCTGCCCGTAGCTGCGGCCGTAAGGTCTGCGGTGCCTGTCGCGGCGGCAATCCAGAACCCGGTGGTGGACACCGGCCAGTAAGGGATGCTGTCAAGCTGAAGAAGGAGTCCTATCGGCTGTGGTTGGCTTGTGGGACTCCTGAGGCAGCTGACGGGTACCGTGAGGCCAAGCGTGCTGCAGCCCGGGCTGTGGCAGAGGCAAAAACTCGGGCCTGGGAGGAGTTCGGTGAGGCCATGGAGAAGGACTACAGGTCGGCCTCGAAGCGATTGTGGCAAACCGTCCGGCGCCTCAGGAGGGGGAAGCAGTGCTTCGCCAACACTGTTTATAGTGGGGGTGGGAGGCTGCTGACCTCGACTGGGGACATTATCAGGCGGTGGAAGGAGTACTTTGAGGATCTCCTCAATCCTGCCATCACGCATTCCACTTTTCAACCACTTGCCACATTTCAGGCATCAAACATAAAGATATAAAATTCAAATTTTTTGTGAAGAATCAACAAGTGGGACACAATCGTGAAGTGGAATGAAATGTATTGGATGTGTCAAACTTTTTTAACAAATAAAAAACTGAAAAGTGAGGCGTGCAATATTATTCGGCCCCCTTGCATTAATACTTTGTAGCGCCACCCTTTGCTGCAATTACAGCTGCAAGTCGCTTGGGGTATGTCTCTATCAGTTTTGCACATCGAGAGACTGAAATTCTTGCCCAGCAGGACCTGATACATTATTGTTTCTTTTATTTATTTATCCTTCCTAACATTACCTTACTAAAGGTAAAGCTTTACCCTGTCCTGCTGCTGAAACTATTGAATTTCCCCTTAGGGGGATAATAAAGTTACCTTTATTAATTCAGTGTTGTTTATTGTACAGAGAATATGTTTCCTGTCTTTCTGTCTTCCTGCCATCTTCCATGCTTAAGACACTCTTAAGCTCACTAAAAGTTTTCCTCACTACTCTTAATATTTGTTCACTTTAGGAGCTCAGTTAAGGCCTAAGATGCTTTGTGAATAAATTTTACCTTATTGAGGTAAAATTCTAAGAAAATCTTAGAATTCGAGATTTTTTCACAAAATGACGTCACTAGGAGCTACTTTTAGTCTTAGGATTCTTTGTGACTACCAACCCAGATCATAATTGTGATTGAAACCATTCATTGTCTGTCATACAACTGTTAGCTAGTTTGTTACTTAACTTGTAAATAAGTTGTAGCTGTAGAGTGACCTTGCGTTCCAGTGCAAGATCTAGGATAATACGAGAACCAGTGGAATATTATTATTGTAAAACAACAAAAACAGCTTTTTTTTTATTGTTTTAAGAACAAACTCATGAGAAAATCGGAATGTCAAGTCATTTAAAACAAAACGTATTAATTAATAATGAAAAATTTTATTCTAAACTTTTTTTATATGTAATCATTTTGTGTAACTCAAATAATGTAGAAAAATCTAACTGTTTTAGCAGGTACAAAACTGGTCTAACCGCACTACATATGGATAAGGAACTTCATCTGTTATCGTCTTGTCAGTTCACTGCATTTAGTCAAACCCGCTGTGAGAAGTTTCAGGTCTGCAACCAACGCCATAAGCAGTGAATCTGCTTCATTTGGTCTTAGGAATTTAGAGATTAGTGGAGGTACGTTTTCTTTTGTTTTTTTTTTGTTGTTGTTTTTGTGGCGCTCATTCTGAAGCATTGCAGGACAGGGTTTCACTTGTGATACAAGTTTCTCTTTACCAAATACTAATTTAGGCTGTTTAGACAGACAACAAATGGTTATCAGATAATGGAGGTAATGCAGCTAGTTAAATAGAAAACTTAAAGAAAAACTGAAAGAAAAAAAGAAATGTAAAACAACAAAATATAGAAATGTAAGTCCAGTTGTTTTATTAGAAATAGACACACTGAACATTAAGACTTAAACATGTACATTGAGATATTCAATAAAACATTAAAAGGTTATGGAGTGGGACAAGACAAATAAATCTTGTTTAGCAGTTTAATATTGATAAAGCATCTCACCGTCTTGGTGGGGATGGTTTTGTCCACACAGAAATTTTAATATTCAGTCAGTCACATACTATTTGTTGCATTTAGGTCTTCTCCATGTGGCTGGGAAACTGCATTGCAGGCTGTAGCCTCAATGCAAACACACAGAGATTCTTCAGTTTATTTTAATGATCTTCTCACAGTTTTTGTCCAGGTTGCGTTTGAACAAAGGCTTTATACATCAAGCACAGAAATACAAGATTATGACCTGTTTAGCCACGAGCAGGTCTCTGACATTTTCATAAAATAAATCCAATTTCCTGTTGTCACGGCCTTTCTGTTTCCAAGCCAAAATAGTTCCAAAAAAAAGGCCGTCGGTGGCAACAAGTGGTCTAGTTTCTTGAAGGCACTTCCAACTTTATTGTTTGAAAAATATCATTTTATTTAATTGCAAAATTAAATGCAAAATAATAACCAGAAAATTCCTACAACTTTGATGTAAACAAAAGGTGGCTTAAACTCATCTTACAAGGACCCAAAGTGGTCGAAAAGTGGTCAAAAAATAATTGTAAAAAACCTCCCGTCATCACACCGGACATTTTCCCAACAAGGACCCCACAGTGTGTTCTTAATCTCTTAAATTACTGGGAGGGGCTTAAAAGTTACCAAAGGAATCATAATAATTCCAAACAATTAATTTCATATCATAGTTCCAAACAAACTGAAATATATTCTAACAACCTATAAGTAAATAGAACTTATGATTTACAAAATTCAACATAAATGACCACAACACCTGTTTTCTTGGGTAGAGCGGCTGAAAAACAGTTGAAAAGTTGGACGTGTAGCAGACAGTGAGTGGTAGGTTGAGGAGGGTAGTGGTTCTTCAAGGCCAGAAACTAAATTCTTTCAATCAGACCACAGCAAATGTCTTCTGTAATGTAGGGGATATATAAATGTACGAGAACAAGGCAGGTGGGATTGGTTGGAGGAAAATCTGTTGAAGGAAAAGAGCCCTCATCCATTTCATTATCATCACTGTGGCACCAAATAAACCCAAACTCCTCTGGTCTTTGCTGGAGTGGCTGTGGACAAAAGGAACTTTGATTCATATGTTATGGCATTGTCAACAAGTCCAAGTTGTCGTGGTGGTTTCTAAATTATTAAATTTTTGGCTCCTGGCTCCTGGTCCTGAGCATCCAGAGATGCTCAACGACATAACAAAAGAGACTACAAAACTGCCAATCTTGCTTTTATAGCTGCAGAATTATTATGTTGAATTGGAAAAAACATGGGCTGCACGGTGGCGCAGTTGGTAGCACCCAGGAAGGTCCTGGGTTCGATTCCCAGCCGGGGGTCTTTCTGCATGGAGTTTGCATGTTCTCCCCATGCATGCGTGGGTTCTCGCCGGGTACTCCAGCTTCCTCCGACAGTCCAAAGACATGCCTGTTAGGTTAATTGGTCTCTCTAAATTGCCCTTAGGTGTGTGCATGGTTGTTTGTGTGTTGCCCTGCGATGAACTGGCAACCTGTCCAGGGTACCCTGCCTCTCGCCTGTAGACTGCTGGAAATAGGCACCAGCTTCCCCGACACTCTACTATGGAAGAAGCAGTATAGACAATGACTGACTGATATTATGCCAGGCAAGCAGGAAGTCATGCATTACTCAGCTTATCCACATACTCCTGATTACTCACACCCTGTACTCTATGAAATTTCTCCACTCATCACTCAATATCTAAGATCATCTCCTGTCAATGCTCTCTGCTGTATCCTCCCCTTTCACTCCTCGCCTGTGATTCTTCCTGTGTTCCTCGTGCTGTTTTCCTTGTGCTTACCTGCAAGTTCTCAGTTTTTATTTAAGAAATTATCATGGTCATCCAACGCTCCGGTCTGTGCCTGGGTCCTACTCCACACCCATGCTAGCTGGCACTGTTAAGTGCCACAAAAATCAATTAATCAGTAATTGGATTGGGAAATGTGCAACTGCATTGACCATTACTTTATGTAAACAATTTTGAAATAACTTCCAGAGGATTGCCAATACATTTCGAGGGCATCATCAAGACTTGATTGGGCTATGATATAAATATTTGATGATCTCTGAGGTTCAATTTTTCAACCAGCTAAGGTACATATCTTAATGCAAAAGCAAGAAAATGTGCTTTTTCTCCCTATCAAAACTCATGACCAAGTAACCCATGATGCATGTGTTGCTTAGAATACAATAGAAACAATGTTTTTACATATGAGTTACTTTATTGAAAACACCTACATTATTTTTCATACACTTTAACACATCTTACACCCAAAAGCTTAATAATACAACAATCTCATATTAATTTAATTTTAATGTTTAATGTCCTTCTTATCTTAAATATCTGATACAGTTAGACAGAAATAAGCTTGAGGAACACTTAAGGGAATACTGAATACAGAAACATCGACTGTCATAAATATGTTTCAATTAAAGTAGGTAATCATCACACATTTTTCATTTCATTTATCCCACAAAATACATTTATAGAGATCTCTTAAGGGTTTGCATGAACAGTAGCCGTTACAATCATTCCTTCATTATTAATAATTGTAAATTATAATGAAAACAATAAATAAATTTTGTATAAGTGTAAAGTGACATGACTTTGAGATAAGAGCTTTATATACTTAACACAAGTTCCTACTATAGAGGTAGAACTTTTTCCAGGGAAGCGTGAACTACAAAACATGTTTGTTTTCTTCATTGACTGGACTTAGTGTTTCACAGTCAAATAAATAACATCCTAATAATGTCGTACCAATAAGGCTTTAGACTGATAACTTCCTAAAACAGAATCAGAATCAAAACATACATGGAAAATGTTGTTCATACAATTATTTATTTTTAAAACTGCCCTTTCATGAGATCTTTTCAGTTTCCCGCTAGGAAAACCTTTTTAGCAAATTATCCACTAGAAATCAACATAGATGATAGTGCTGGCTGGACAACAACCACGACAACAGGACCATGCAGAATGCCGTGATGAGACTGATCTTGTGGCTTACTCCGCTAGACACCTCTGTAAATGTTGAGAAAGAAAAACTGTTTAATAATAAAACACTCTTTAAATATGTTTGATGATTTTGAATTAGTATAAAGTAATATATAACTGTTTAATATCTGAATTTATTTTAGCTTACGTGTTCCATCCACAAAAATATTAGTGGTATCAATGTTGAAGGCTGTGATTTGTGAAGCTGCATTGACCAAAACTTCTGCAATTTTGGGGCCAGTAGGAACAGATGCAGATGCAAATCGAAGGTCCATGTTGTTGATGATTGACCCGTTGCTATAATACAAATATAGTATATGAATTATAAGAACGTTTGACAAAACACTCTTAGAGGTAGAATACTATAGACAAATTACCTGAATGAAATCACAGTTAAATCACGGAATGAAGAAAATGCTTGCTTGTAGAAGGGTTCAAGCTGAAATAAGAAAAAGACAAGAACATTGCAGTTAAAACTACAAGTAGTTAAAATTAAATTAAACAAACTGCACAAAATGGTGTCACCAGAAAACTCTGTCTCTGCTGTTCATCAAACGGCTTCTACACACACAACCAGCATGTCTGCTGAAAGCAGAGATCTCAGAGATTCCAACAATACATGTTTTATCCCAGAGTGTCAAACTCTGGAATGACTAATAAATGATTAATTTATACCCCACTTGATGTCTATATTTTACTTTTATTTTAAATTTCTTTTTTCAAAAATTGAGGTCTGCATTTCAGTATTACTGTTTACATAATGATATATCATCTGGGAAAACAATATTGCAATCATTTAGTTGTTATGCGTCTCAAAGAAAAGGACTCACAGTGGACTTTAAAAGCGCAGCTCTGTTTATAAATGCTGATGAAGAAGGGTTGAGCAAATCAGTTGTAAAGGTCTCTCCAGCAGACCTAAAAGTCAGCCGCTTTGTTACTGTTTGCTCCACAGTTGTGATTGTTGTTGTTGTTTTGGTTGTAGAAGTGTTTGTTGATGTAATTGTAGTAGCTGTAGTAGTTGTTGCAGTGCTACCAGCTGATGATCCAGGGTTTATTGTTGCTGCCGTTAAATTTTGGGAAAGTGTTGTATTTAAAGCTGGGGCCACAGTTGTTGCAGGTGTACCTGCCAATGAAAACAGCATTAAAAGCAAAGTAAAAGTAAGCATTTCACAAAGAAAAATTTTATTTCTAAAGAAAGAAAACAATCTGACACTTAAAATGTATTACTTTCTTCTGCATTACAATACATGAAATAATTATTTTTCACAATGCCAAAGAAATTACTCAACTTAATATTTATAACAATGACAATAAACTTTAAAGTTTGAGTGTTCTTCTTGAATCAGTCTGTGTATACTTTGGTTATTGGGTTTTCTTTGTAGTGACCACTGTATTAAAAACTAAAAAGATTAATTATTTGATTTATTGTTTTGAAATAAACAAGATTAACCTAAATTTTAACCTTTTTTCTTCACGGTGATGGAAAAAATGAAAGTAAATTATTTGAAGAATGATATGAATGATTTTTTATTATAATTACTGTTTTCTCATCTTTTCTATTATCTGTTACTCTGACCTGTCTGATATGTGGCCCAAAACAGCTGCTCTTGCTAACTTTGAATTATTATTTCAGATATTTCTAATTTCTACAAAAAAATCTGAAATTATTAAACTATATGACTTCAAAGGAAATATTTAATATTTTCACAGCAAAGTTACAAGAATGCTGCATCGTGACACAACATTTTTAATAGTGTTGCTAATACAGTGATATATTTTTGTATTCTTAAAGGAGCAATGACATTTGATCACAAATTACTAATAAACATCATATTTAAAGAGATGTTTCTGTGTACATTTTTATATGTATAAGTTCATCCACTGGCTCCCTTGTATCTGAGACTGGGTCTCACTGCAGCTCATTCTGAGGAATCTCAAGGTGTTCCTAAACCAGAAGGGATGTAGTCCTTCCAGCAAGTTTGAATTCTTGGAGATTTTCCCGCGCCTGGGGGTAGCAGAGGGGGGTGGACCACCTGCCCCCTTTTGCTCCTTGCCCTAAAATGCCCTTTTGGTCAAACGATTTGTTTATTTAATTATTCCCATAACCCCTCCTCTGACACGCAATGAAAACATGTGTTAGTATTGCTATTTACTATGTTATTTCGTGAGAGACAACGCCCCCTTAGTCACCCCGTTACCATTGACCTTTGGCCCCTGTGACGCATGCGATACCTTCCCCTTGCGCAGTGATGTAGAGGAGCATACTCTGGAACCGGTATTATGTCGCTTCTGGTCAATAAACCGGAAAGTGAGTTACATTATAAGAGACGCGTACTTGTATCGACAACTTTGTATCGCTGCTGCTTCATCATCGATGGAGAAGTCTGAGCAGAGTGGGGCTGAATCACAACACTGGCAGAGGGAGAAGGGAGATGGCTCTCCGCTCTCTGAGCCGGAGGAGACAGGTAAGGAGAAGCTATTATCTGAACATTAAGGTTTTATCACTCAGACAATAGTTCGTTGTTGTGTCGTGTGCTAGCTGCTAGCTAAAGACTTTGCCTCTTCTATTTTGCGTTACCGACAGCTGTCACTCACCGCCAGTATTACAATCATGAATACTGTTAGAAAAGCTACTTGGAGGGGATGTGTGGTGATGAGATGCAATGGTGCTGCAGTTTATATACAGTATATATCTAATCTTTTTGAGGCCTAATGAAAATGCAGTTCATCTACCAATCTGCTGTTTTAGAGGTTAGAATAAAGAAAATATCCTGTCGCTGAGAAATCGTTATGTTGATTATATCACACTTATCAATTTAATAAGCCTTGTAAATAAGACATCTGAAAAAAAACAAAAACAAGGAAAGGGCTGCTTGAAGCAGCCAAATGTAGTGGGTTGTTAACCAATGGGGTTAGAAAGAGGACAACCGGTAGGAACAATACCAAGGTTTTATGTAGTCAACATGTAGAGCTGTTTGGTTGTGCACTTATGTTTAATTTGACAAGTAACCAGTTTAGGAATTATTAATGATGTTAAGATGTACTGTGGTTAATGTAGATTCATTTATACCTAATTTCTTGCCTCTAGAAGGAAAGTGATAGATCAGATGAGATAGAGGCAAAAATAACAAGAGACACCGAGCTGCAATCAACACAGGAAGGGTGAGACAATTAGGAAAAAGAGAATATACTGAAAAAAAAGAAGAGGGAAAGAAGAAATGCTATATAACTAATCACAAAACACACACGTAAATATAAGAGGTTTAACCTAAAGTTTGGTGGTCAGTTAGCAATGTCAAGCTTTATGTTTTCTCATCGTGACTTGTAACACTAAGGT